CGTTTCTTTTGATTTTAATTATACAATTAAATACATCTTCAGACCGACGTGTGTTCGTGAGAGTTTCTTGGAATTGAAGTATCTATTTATATAATAAACGAAATTCAGATCAGGGCCAACAAGCGGTACGCAAAACGAAGCACGCGCCCGAAATTACAAAGCAATTTTATAGCTTTAATGTTAAAAATATGCAAGACAGTACAACTCTTAAGGACAATTTTGCTTTTTTCCTCTTAACAATTGCGAAATTTCTGCAGAAATCCACGTCCTTGAACCCGTGCAATGTACTCTTTGCGTGACCATCACTGAAGCAATGTTGGTGCGTTAGCAACAATGCAATAACCATAATGTCCCTTAATGAACATATGTATGTTTGCTTGAATGTAGTAAGCATGCAGAGTAACACAGTTACGCGCCGCGCATATCAATAGGAGCCGGTGTTGCTGAGTTTTAACTACAATTGCATTTTCGCACGCGACACTTAATGTTTTTGTAGCTGATTACCTTTGCTTGATTTGCTTACTCTGTGGTAATAATTTCATTGTTGAATGACTCAACCCGTTTACCTTTTGCACTGTTTGGATAACACTCACAGCCACGCAGCAAGGACATGGTTTCTTCAATTACGTAAGATGTGTCAAAATAACGCAAAGAAGTCAAAAAATACCACAAAAAAAAATATCGTTGCTATCAAGTTGTTGTTATTTATTTTTGCCAGTTAAAAGCTGAAAAGCCACCACGTGCTTAAATGCATAACTGTAGCTTGTACACATCCTGTAAGGTGAACACTTGTTGCACACCTACTTTGCTTACATATGCATGTATGTATGCATATATTTACAGTTGTACCATAAGCTTTACGCACCAGTTTTCACATGTATATTTACATATACATGTACATAAGGTACATTTATTGGACATACCGAAGTGTTTATTGACACATATGCACATACAAGGAATTAATTTGAGTTGCCTAAAATTGACCCTGACCGCGTTACGTGCGTTAACTGCAGTTCTGCAGCGAGTTTCGAAGATTTCTCGCGATGTTTCTTCATATACACACATACATACCAACGCATGTGAGCATAGGCAGAGATTTCAAGTTGTTTTGCTTGCATTTTACAACAAATTGACATATGTACATATGTACGAAATTCGGCGAAATTCATAAGGTACCTATAATTAAGAGTATATGTAGGTACACAAATGTATTTTTATTTAATTTTTTTATTTTAAGTACGTTTACAAAATATGCTATAACCGCGTGTGCTAACGGCATAGTAAACACTTGTCAAGTAAATAATTAGCGTCAATTAGCTAATTTAGGCGATTCCTTATGAAATCAATATGCCCTTTGGGTTATTGGTGGGTCGCACGCAATTGATTAACAGTAAATAAAATGCAGGTAAACAATAATAAAGGCTAACTCATTCCAATAATTGCTTGTTTGTTCTTGTCATGTATACGGCAGCTTATTTGAATATGATGTAATATGTATTGTTGTACAATTTTGTTATTGCATTTATATATGTATATTTATAGTCGGTTCAATATTGGAAAGAACGTATAATAAACTTTCTAAATGTAATTAAAATTTATGAATTAACGTTGCTTTTGTATGAAGTTATTCTAACAGTATTAGCGCCATCTAGCGAATGTTAGCAAGCAATTAAAGAAGCAAGAGGTGTCACTGTTAGAACTTTTAGACTTCTCTTCTATAGCTTGCAAGATGTCACACTTGTCGCTTCGCGAGTTGGGGACAATTTAAAAAGCGGAAATGTTGCTCAAATCCGAACTATGCAATATTAAGGGTAGTGCACACAATAACCATAATTCGCGCAAGATACAAATCTAAATACAATCTTGTTTATGTTAGTGTTGTATGAGTGACTAATTAATCATTGATTTGATGTTATGATGTTGCTTGACACACATATATGATGTATCAATCAACAATGGTGATTCAATTCATAACATACTTATCAATTTTGCTACTAAATAAGCTTATATTGACAGGTGACTCACTAAACCGAAATAAACATCTATCAACAAACATCTATCAGCAAAAACTTCATCAGAAAAGTGCTGATACACATTTTTCGCGTGTGCTTCCTCTTCCCTTTACCGCTATCGAAATATTGAAAGTTGGGTCATTGCTACTGTCATAAGCTAAGCGCCTGACTTGTTACCACTGGTAAGCGCCCACTTTTCACGAAACGCCATAAAGCAGTCACAAAAATAACAACATGGTGCATAATAAAGTCTGGGAAATGAAAAGTGCTGAATTGCATTATATTCCCGCCAGACTGAGCCTGACTGCGTACGCACTGACATTCGAATCATAAACGCCATGTATATGCGATTATTATGTTGTTGTTGTGGCGGTAATTTCATAATATTAGCAGTGAACTTTACAGGTGAGTGAACCATGTGTTGAGTCCGTGTAATAAACAAGATCACATAAAAAAAAAATAATTAAGAAAATAACAACAAACCATTGTGGATCAGGCATACTTCAAATACTGAGTTAAGAATACAATAAGACAAACACTCGATAGGTTAATATCATTGAATTATATACGAATAGGCGAATGTCATTAAACTAATCAAATCATAGATATTTACTCAGCGGTTTGAGCGTGCAAACGTTTTGTTAAAATCTCATTTAATTTTCCAATAATAACGACAAATTATACGAAGACCTCTGTCAAATACAGATGTTTACAGAGTTGATGATGTAAACAGCTGTTTCGGTGCGGTTTTTGACCTTCTATGCTTGTATAACTGGAGTAACACAGTATTTCGCTTCCCTTCTAAAGATAAAGCATCTTTTATGGAAATTCGCAAATATTGACCTGGATGGCTGAAGGTGTGAGATCCAGGGTGCTTTACTTTAGATCTCACAAGATCGTCAAGAAGTAAATGTTGAGCTTCTAATTCTAAAAAACAAACGGTCAATTCTATGCTGTCACAGCCATTGTGGTTTAGAAGGCTTTATATACATAAGTGACTTGGAAACGGTTTACTTCTCAACTCCCAATACAATCCAAAGTACTACTTGTAGACAAGAGAGTATGTTAATTCTAAGTTTTGGCTGTCAATAGAGATAAGTGCTGAAATATAGCTGCAATTTGATTAAATATCTCCTTGCTAAACTCTTCGCTTTCTTCCATCATTATATGCTTATAGAAACATACTTACGAGTACGCATCTTCAATCGAATTCGAAGACGACACATACAATAACCACTCCAACAACTGAATTGACATTTGTTGCTGTCTTCGTAGCTTGGCTCGCATTTCGTCTGGGAACAGCGAATATTTGAAATTGCCTTTGGACTGTCTTCTACTACAATTACGACGCGCTTTCTGTTTTCACTACGTTTATCAGTGAGAGCGTTCGTCATGTTTTTGTCCTGCTTTTGCTTCACATTGACCCACATCTGGGTCCATTGCACGGCCAACCAGGCCAATAAATACACAAGATGCTGCATATGTGTACGAATGCATTACAAATACAATAAACAACAAATTGAAATTGGAGCATAACGAACTGTAGAAAAGGGCGTGGAAGGGAGACGAGGCAGAGGCGTATTGTCATAGTGTTGCAGAGGCGATGGACTGTCATATTTAGACAATTTATTTGTTTATAAAAACCGAAAATTCGTGTCAATGCTATTCATTATCAGAGACATAGTGTTGACTTAATATTTTTGGGCTATCATCTCTGTTATGGGTGATTCCCAACAAGCTGAGAATTATTTTGTCGTTTATCGCCATTAAACGTCGTCAAGGTCGTCTGGGTAGGCTGACCAAATGGTGTGCGTGTGCCACCCTTAATTTCTGTAATACTCGTACCTCCTTTGTTCAAAGTTCAGTACGCTTGGACTATTTAGTCGTTATCTTGGGGGTCCCTCTTTCTTTATACCCTGAACAGGTTATATTAAGTTTGCCACGAAGTTTGATAAAACTTATATAGGAATGTAAAACGCAAAAGTTTTGCTATATTCTCATGGGTATGTCTTCACTTGAGGAACCGACAACTGCAATTATTTTCTTAAACATAGCCTTGTATCCCTGTGTTGTAGAAGATGTTCTACCGTCTCTTAGTCCTCTACCTTTTGGTACCTTCTACAGTAATCGTTGTATGTCAGTCTGCTGGCGTGTCAAGTCAATGTTTGTTTCCTCCGATATTCAGCTATGCCTATGACAATATACATACATATATACTATACATTAAATCATTATAAATTACACACTTTTTACTATATAAAAATTTCATATATAAATTTTCTTCTTGAAGTTAATCCCGAAATTAGAAAATAGCTTAAGCCTCACTCTCTCAAATGCGTTTAAGTAGCTTTTCACTCTTTCAAGACGACCAAAAATAAATTAAAGAAATAATGTGGGTTAAGTCCCAAATACATTACGAAAAATGCAGGTGAGCCTTTGTCTTCCAGCACATAAAGTCTGGCACAAAAAATTCGTGATGAACCGCAAAAGTAAAATCGCAGCTGATTTATATGCCGACAGCGTAGTTGATTTTACTTACAAATTTTACACCCAGACAAGCCCTTTACGGATATCGCGCAAATACAAAAATTATTGTTTTTTGTTTTTTACACAAACAAAATATTTTGTAACTGAAATATTTTTGAGTACGAATTTACATACAAACATATTTAAGTATGCAACAACAGGTGAAATGTCCAAATATGTCTACTGATTAAGCACATTTTTACAACACCAAACAAAAAAACAAAATATTAAAAAATAATTAATTTAAAAAAAAACCGAAATTTTTAATAAAATTTTATTTATAAATAAATGTAAATGCAAAATCAATACATACATTCAAACATATATACGAATGTAAGCGTTTGCAAGCGACAAATTTTTGCCAGCGGTTGACAACACTTGCTGTGGGTGCCCTTGAGAATGTGCGTCAATATTTTTTGGGTGTAAATCAATATTTAAATTTTTTTGGTCTCGGTGCAAATGTATCGGTTCAGTTTGGCAATACTTGTGTTGCAGTTATCGTCATTCTAGCAGCTGTGCGCTTATTGACATGCATGGCATATTTATTTTCGACGTAGTAAAAAGTGAAAGTCGCCACTCCCGCCCCTTTCTTGGGCAGAGGGTGGTGACCATATGTTAGTCAAGCGCATGTGACTGTGCGACAGACAGATCAATAAGTAATTAAGATGTAAAAAATGCAATTAAAAAGCGAGAAATTCGAAATAAAATTTGCAAATCCGCGCTTCGATGAGAAGATTACTGTTGAATAAGACAAGCCTAGTATCGAGGCGAGAACTGGGTCACCAGTGTGAAAATGCACGAGTATTGCGTTATGGTAGATTTCCAAAATTTACGGTAATGCACGTAACTTATTTGCCTTAATTATAGAATTATTTTTATTTTTATCTCAGCCATATTTTACATGCTTTCAGGTTAGGTGAGGCAATCAAATTGATATACGTGGAGCTACGAATAATCCAATTTGGATAGCTATAAACGCCTCTCCGTTGTCACGCCCGAAACTCCTAAATATGGATTAAAAAGGCCGTGGCACATCGAAAAAACGCCTTGAGTTTGTCACACATTTTTTGAAACCTAGCATTCTCATAACCTAGCGTTTTTTCGAGTTAACTTATAACTATTTGGTGGGTAAACTAAAGTATCATGCCTGAAATATTGTCGATTTGCATGAAAACATCAAGCAAATTTAAAAGCTAGTCGAACCTATACAAAATTAACATGCTTTGGTAATCTTTATGTCCTGAACGAAGTTTGTAACAGCTAGAAGGCGACGTCGGACTCTCTATTGAAGCTCAGCTCGCGAGCAGATTTAGCTAGTTGCACCCAGTCTGTTTGTATATACGTGAATTAGTAGCTCAGTTTTTGAAATATCAATCTGAAATTTTGTATGAGCCCTTTTTTGCTCAAAAATCTGCTTATATGTCGGAATCGCAGTTATCAGACCACTTTGAGATATAGCTGCCATATAAACTGACCGATCACCAAAATCAAGATGAAGCTCTTCATAACATACATATATATGTTTTCTTTATTAGAAAGAACTAGCAAAACGTTTTCCGTTTTCACATTTCCTACAGCTGTGAAGGGTATTATAGTTTCGTTGCATTCCAGTGCTCCTTTTCCTCTTTTACTTCTCAACCGCTACGACTTCAAAGTTGAATTATTACCACTAGCAGCAATTTAAAATTATTGGCAATATTATTACAACAACAATGCGAATTTTCAAAAGTTTTATAAGCCATAACTTTTATGAATATGTTTATTATTATTCGTAACTAAAAAACATTTTCCAAGTGAGATATAGTAAACATAATAATATATAATTATTTTTTAAATACTTTTACTGTTCTTACTGTTCCATCGGCTCAATTTAGCAAAATAAAAAGGTAACCCAATACAGTTGTTTATTATTTTCATATTTAAATTTTATTAATTGTGTGCGCCAAGCATAATTCCTAATTCGATTCCAGCAACAATTTCATTCATTAAGTCTCATCTTTCTCCACTCTCGTTTTTTTGTGCTTTTACTCTTTTGTTGTCAACAAGCAAAAGTTATTTTTTACGAAATTCAAAGTTATTCATGCAAAAAGTGTAAAATTATAATTCACTGATCGTTTTCATCGTGTATGTGTGTATATGTATGTATGAGTATGTTAATAACAAATAAAAAATTAGCATAAAAATTCAAGGCCAATTGGCCGGTGTTGCGCAATTTCTTGTTGCGCTTTAATTTGATTCCAATTCCTAGAAATCGCCAAAAGACTGTGTGTTGGTGTAGGCGACACCTGTGATTATTGTCATTTCTATTTTTGCCTCACTTTCTAAACAACCACAATAGCTTGGTAGTAAACAAATTTCACTTGATCGCTGTTGCGAAGTCCAAAACAATAAAAAGGTAAAGAATAACAATATCTAAAGACGGATTTAAGAAATTAAAAAAAAGCAATAAAAATATACGGGATGTGGTTGGGTGTCATCAGGGTAGATTTTGGTATAGTGGTGGCAATAAAAATGCTAAAAAGCGAAAAGCCATTGCCCTGCCGAAGCTGTTGGCCTGTTAGATTCTTGGAATTTTTTTTACAATAAATAGTATGTGCCGGAATTACAAAATAGTTCTCTTGAAAAAAGGTAATCTGTTCGCAGAACTACCCTCAACAGCACCGTAAATTCTTTGGCTGAGTCGTAAACATTAAAGTCAATAAGAAAAGTATTAATAATTGGCTTGCTATAAATGAAATAAAGTATTATACCAAATACCGTTTGTTAAAAAAAAAAAAAAATGTGCGACACTTTTTGAACAATTTTTATAACAAGCTGTTGCTGCTTCTGAAAACGTATGTACACAGTACAATATATTTAAGATTTTATCAATCTGAATGAAATTTACAAAAAGGTGGAAAACTTTTTTTAAAACATTTCCAAATGAAGTGTTTTCATAGACCATGTTTATTTTGACATCCATTTTGTAACATTTCCTTAATTAATTTTACTTAATACTAATTTTAAAATATGTGGCAACCCTTCTCGAAAATATTTTTTTACTGTAAGCCTATTTTTAGTTTTTTTAATTTGCTGCAACCAAACTCTAACGCTAAGCTTGCTGTAACTGTAAACTTGCGTTTTGTTTATTCTTATTTATTTCTTATAACTTTTAATTTAATAAAGATTTTCAAAATAAAAAGTAATATTTTCCAAAATAACTGTCCAATTTTTCTATTTTGGAAATCAGATTGTTAGAATTTATTTTAACGTATAATTTCAAAAAAAAAAATTGTGCAGGTGGCAACACAACTAAAAAATATTTCTGACAGCAGCTTTTTTTTAAACTTATTCATATGCCTATTGTACCGCTATTTATCTTAACTAATATATTGTTTAAAATTTTAAAAACAAGTGGCAACCTTATGATTTTATATTTCAAAGTTCAGCGGCTTTATACTATATGCATTATCTGTTAGTAATAATTAGACTCCGCTCAGAAATTAATAAAATGTTAATTTATTACATATGTATAATGAAAATTAAAGTCCTCAGCAGTTATTCGTGTCGATCACTCGACGTCTGCGTGTTTCCTGGCAGATCGCTTGATGCATATTTTTCCTCACTTTTGTGACATATGAGTTCCGCTTAAAAAATATGCTGACTTCTTAATTCACATACAGCGCAAACAATCGTCTGGCCAGACAGTACAGAGCTCACTCGTGTGAAAATAATCAAAAACAGCGGTACACAACTTTACTGTGACTTGAAATTTTTGGTATGTAGTGTTTCATTTCATACATTCATATCGATGTACATAAACGTATACGTTTTCTCTGTTGTTTTTTTTATGAGGATGGAGCATCGAAAGCCTGAACCTCATTCCAGTAAGGAATATTAATATACTGCTATGTATAGATCCCTCTGGTAGCACCGTCAGGTATTACGTCGGGAGAATATACTATATGTGTTTATTATATGTATTTGTCTTCATAAATATTGACAAAAATTTAAAAAAAAATATATTAAATTTTTATATAAAGTGTATTAACATAGTATTAATATGTCAATCTATTTGGGAACCACTGATTGTGTTTGTTTTGCTGAATAAAAAAATTTGCAAAATCGCACGTACCATTCATAGGGAAATGAACTCAAAAATTGATACTCTTTAGTAGAGTAAACAAAATGACGATACATATAAGTACATATGGACAAAACAAAGTGAATGAGTAGCTTCTTCGAAAAAAGTTCTGAGAAAAATATGCAATGCATTTAATGTATAAAAACAATTATGTTTGTACAGTGAAGCGGGCGCCTTCGAGTAAATAAATGTAACAACTGTCAGCGGTTATAATTAATTCTGGTGATTTTTTATATGACAAACGCAATAACTATTTAGAAATCCGATGTCTTTTACAAAAAATATTTTAATAAAATTCATTTTTAAAAATGTTTCAATGTTTGTAATTTTTTAGGAACATCTAAATCATTAATCTAGGCGAATGTGTTCTTAAAGTAGACACCATTTAGTGTGCCACTTGTTCAGAACTCGACCCCTGAAAGATTTTGGATAAGCAATACCAATTAATATGACATCTCTGTCTACAGCATAAACATTTTTGTAAAAGTTCCAGTTTCAAGCGTTCCACTGTAAGCATTTTGAATCAATGAATCGATTGTATAATCATCAATCAGGGTTATATATAGAAAACCAATTAATTAATTATTGTTATGTTGATTATTGTAACTCATATGAGTACTGTTACAATGGGCTGACAAATACCATTTATTTACTCATATACAAGTACTTGTATTTGCAATCAAACGTCTAGATAGCAAAATACGAAAAAGCATAGCTTTAAATGTTTTTTATTAAATTACGAAATATCGTTCTTAACAGGGACATTGTTCAGAAGGCATACATAAGTTGAGGCTAAGTTGCTTAGAAAAAGACAGAATAGAAATATCTCGACACTAACTCCTCTCCCAGCTTAGGTCTTAGTCGCCTCAACATACTCGTATATGTAAGTAAGTAACAGTTGCAAAGCGCTTCGTAGATACATATATACTAAAATAAGACACCTGTTTAAGACCAGAAAAATTACGTGGCAATGGGCATGGTTATCAGTTCAATTTCGCACGTTTATTCCTAGAAATACATACAGTCATTTTGTTGCAGTTCTAATGTCTATAGCAATCTATAGCTCTTGTAAAGGCTCCATGTTCAGGGAATTAAAAAAAAAAAATATTTTAATTTTCCTTAAATTTGCTTTCATATTTTTATTCGAATTATCTAAGTAATTATGTAGATTTAAAGAAAAATTTTCTATTTTGTATAGTATATTTTAATATCTCATATAAACACACTTTTGACAGTCACTTTACTGTTATAAGTATGTATACTACGAATCTCATTCTCATATTTTTTTGTGCTTCATTAACGCAAAACTTCGAAATTTTTCGTTAATGTTTTCTTTGCATGAGAATTCCCAAGTGTTTATGTTTTGATTCTCAAACATCTACTTTTGCCACTTGTAGTTTCTTTTTTATTTCTCCTTTGTTTCGTTTTTTGCGCCTATGACCAATTTCAAGGTTAGCCACCAATAGTTGTCCATTGACCTATTTGAACTTACAAATGGAGTAGAGCGCTAAGTTTTCCTTAACGTTATTCAACGATTTGTTTTCAATTTGTTTATTGTTGTTTTTGCATTGTTAGAAATAAAATGGATTTTATGCTTTCCATGTTTTGTGCGAAAATTAATTTTGCAAATGTATGCTAATGCGTAGTTCTTACACGGCTATTATCAAAGGACAAATTTACATACATACATAAATTTAAATAATATATATACATATATGCAAGTGATAAATTAATAATAGGTGAACATAAAAAAGAGACATTTACAAAGAATTATGTGAGACCGACATAGTCATGCCACCTAAGAATTAGTCGAACATTATGCAAAATTTTCGCTTGCCTGCTTGCGTTAGTGCGTGGAGGAGATTCAACG